TAAGAATATATGTACTGTCTTTGCAATTTTTCTGTAAGTCTAAAACTGTTCAAGAATCAAAAGTGTCTTAAATAACCCCCAAGGAGGAAGGTATCTCTTGGTGCTGGAGATGGAAGTGAAGGGGTTTTAGAAGGTGATGCTTATTAGCTAAAAATACACGTTTTATGGGAGAACATAGATGCCATAATTGAATTTAGGGACCGTTAATACTAGCAGAATATACTCCTCATAGATGTCATCAGTCTCTTCGGCTCTGATTCCAGGTAAAATGTATAAAATAGTAGGTCTCTGTTGTGAATTTATTTATTTACGGGCATTAACAAGTATAATAAAGGCCAAAAATGTCCAAACACACCATGCACCATGAGAACAGAAGCAGAACCATCATTAATGACTTTGCTAATTGCTCTTTCCTTTATTAGTTGGCATTCATTCTGTAGTCTGACATTACATCACAAATATTACTAATTTTTATACCTATTGGGAAAGAGCCTGCAAAATAGCGACTTTCCTCCTCAGCTGTTCCAGGCCTCAATCAGAACAAGGCGAAATTCAGCTGGTGTGGGGAGAGATACCCGTTTTAGGACTCCAGAACTGTTAGCATTTCCCCCCCCACGGAATGTGTTGTTTGCATACGCGAGATCCGGGCGAGCACTTAGTTTCCGGAGCTCCGAAGCATTCACCATCAGGTCACACTCATGCGCATCAGACTCAGTGTCAATTCCAAAGTGAGTGCTTCAGTGATGTTTAATTGGACTCTTTATATAGTACGCCTGCTACAAAGAGCATGTTGTCCTTTAAGTAGAAGTTGATTTAAAACCATGATAAGTGAGCCGTAACCGTCTTGAAAGAGGGTTTTTCCTCCCCCTTTTCCAAAGGCCTTCAATGCATTGACACTAAGGATACTTTGAAGATACTCTGTTCAGTTGAAACCGCCAAAAGGATCCAGTGATACGAACCATAGTTCATACCAGAAAAGTTTCAGGTTCTAGTATGAAGCTACAGGTAAAAGCTCATTTGCTTACATTTCTTCCTTAAGAATTCATCCTCCAGGGCGCCTGGGTGGCTCAGTTGGTTAAGCGACTGCCTTCGGCTCAGGTCATGATCCTGGAGACCCAGGATCGAGTCCCGCATCGGGCTCCCTGCTCGGCAGGGAGTCGGCTTCGTCCTCTGACCCTATCCCCTCTCATGTGTTCTCTCTCTCTCAAATAAATAAATAAAAAATCTTTAAAAAAAAAAAAAAAAAAGAATTCATCCTCCACTGATTTCTGCTGTGACTTCTTGACCCACAGACCTAAATTTTTTTGTAAAGCGGCTTCATCAAGTAATCTCACTGCGGGAAATACAGTTTATCAGGGAACTTTGGGTTCTAGTAAAAGATGAAAATGTATTAGTTTATTAATAAATTGATATTTATTGATAATTAATAGTCAGCATGTACTGTGCTAAGCATGTTGTGTGTAACTTTTTAAAAAACTAATAAAAGTCTGCACTGCCCCTCTTTTTGCTGACAGAACCCCAGTTTTGTTCAGGTGTCAGAGTAGCGGGGGCTCATCCTCAGTTCTGGGGTGTGACAGCATGCCCCAGTCCACTTTTGCTTCCTGATAAGTGGCAGGTGTGTAGGGAAAGGGAAAGGTTTTATTTCCAGCATTAATTTCCCACCTTGCCTGTGGGTGTTGGGCATAGACCCTCAGAGCAGTTGGTTTGAACTTGTCCTTGGGGAAGATATCATGGTCTCTTCAGACAAAACCACGACCTGAGCTCAAGTGAGTGGGAGAGTAGGTGTGGTTCGGTCAATCTCCACCAAGTTTAGAACGTTTATCGCCGGACAGTGATCCCTAAATCCTTGAATTTGAGAGCCTATTTCCTATCAGAACGGTTTGCAGTCCCCCACCACCACCACCAACCATTGCATGCACAGTATCATTGGGCAGGGAAAGTATCTTGGTCGTTTGCATGTTCTCAGAGTGTACATTCAATCGCATTTCAGTACCTGAAACCCTTTTTCTACAGAGCTGAAAATAATGGCAGAGAATGTGCAGGATTTCCCCAATTCTGCCTAGACACCACCATAGCATAGGCCCACGTTGATTATAAAGCACAAGTTTTTTTAGTCCACAGAAAATGTTTCTGCAGGTGGCTTTGCACTCTTGCAAACTCCACAGCCACCCCCCAGCGCTGGTGACTGCTGATCTTCAGGCGCTCGGTCAGAAGCTTTGCCCTCGGGGCGCCCGGGTGGCTCAGTCAGTTGAGCTTCGGGCTCTTGGTTTCAGCTCAGGTCATGATCTCAAAGTCGTGAGATGGAGTCCCGCATTAGCAGGGAGTCTGCTTGAGATTCTCTCTCTCCCCCTGCCCCTCTCCCTGCTCGCTCGCTCTCGCTCTCTCAAATAAATAAATCTTTAAAAAAAAAAAATTGCCCTCTTGCACGTGGAAAGCAAATACATTTTACTGATAAAATTGCCCTATTTGGTCCTCCTTTTACTTCTTTATTTTCATGTGTGCATGTATGTGTCTCTCTGCCCGTCTGTCTGGGTCTTCCTCAGCCCAGCCTTGCCTCAGGAGGAACATTGAGAAAACACCAATGACCCCAGTCAACCTGGGGTGACATGCCCCCCAGATGGTGGCCTTGAATCCTGGTTTGTGGCTGTAGGCTTCCCTCTCTCACAGCTCTGTTTTTGAGGGTACCATGCTCTGAATAACATCCTTTTCATTATTGCTCCCTCCTCTCTCAGAATTCTGCATTGTTGACTCAAGTATACAGTAAGGATTTCACAGTGGTCACTCAGAAAGACCACTCAGAAGGACCTCTGACACCAGATGCTCTATTAAGTTCCCAATTCTTGAGTAAGAATCTAAGGGCGATTGCAAAGATTAAAAGAATTTCTGTGTATTATGAGTCAAAGTAAATAATAAAAGCTTAAACAAGTCAGAAACTTGAGTCTAGTAGAAGATAAAAATGAACCTAAACTTTATTATCAATCTTCGGAATTTATTCCTATTTTCTCCTTTACTTTTTAATCTATATTAGAGGGAAAAAAGCTGTATATATCTATCTACATACTTTTACTCCACCCTGATGGAAACAAAAGATATAGTTATTGTACACGTTCAGGCTATGAATCAAACAAGTTTACAAATCTCAACATTATTGCTATATAGAAGTACACATCTTATAAATGTTTGATTGCTTTTAAAATTTAATAATCTCCTTTGGCCTTTGTTTTGTTTCCCTTCTATTTGAACATCCTGATAACTACTTTAGGATCGTGATTTTTTATTTATTTTTTAGCAACAAAAAACCTTTCCATTAGGCAAATAGATTTCTTGCAGCAGCTTTTTTTTTTCCCATATAAGTTTATTCTTTAAAATTGTTTTTCTTTTTACCTTTTGACCCCCTTCACCCATTTCTCCATCCTACCCCTGCTGCCTCTGGCAACTACCAATCTCCTCTCAGTATATATGAGCTTGTTTTTGTTTGGGTTTTTTGTTTGTTTGCTTGTTTGTTTTAGATTCCGCATATAAGAAATCATATGGTATTTGTCTTTCTCTGTCTGACTTACTTCATTTAGCATAATACCCTTGAGGTCCATCCATGTTGCAAATGGCAAGATTTCATTCTTTTTCATGGCTGAGTAATATTCGTTTGTGTGTGTGTGTGTGTGTCTTGAACATTCTGTAAATGCACTGTTGCATTTTATTAATTTTAGTGAACTATTCCAACAGATTATAAACAAAAGTTGTGTGTGTGTGTGTGTGTCTTGAACATTCTGTAAATGCACTGTTGCATTTTATTAATTTTAGTGAACTATTCCAACAGATTATAAACAAAAGTAAGGTTAATAGCTGTAGTAGCTAACCACCAAATGTTTTACTCACTGAAGTTTTTGTAAGTCCATTATTTAAGGTTTAAGAGATGCCATCCCCGATCTCCTGATTCCTCGAGCAACGTTGATGCTGGCAGTATTTACCAACCAGTAAGTGGCTTGCAAGGAGATGATCCTGTCTCCTCTTTGATCACAGAACCAAATTCTAAAATCCAAGGTCAGAGGATATTTTCCATTTTTCTAGAGCTCTATTTCTCATTAAAAGGGGGGGGAGGGGCTGTAGAAAAACCTTATTGCCGTTAAACCACTCCTCAAAAGGATCTGTAAAGAGAAACCTTAGTCTTATTGAAGCCAGACTAACAGAGCTGTAACATCTAGGTGAGTTCATTTGTATTGCCGTGTTTAGGATCAGGAACACACAGGAAAATCAGGAGCTCTAGGTCTGGGAAGAGGAATTCCCTGGGAGAAGGGGCTTTGGATATTCAGGAGGCAGATTTGAAAACTGGGCTAGTGATTGTAGTAGGAAGGCTGATGATGAGACCTTGAGTGTTAAGATGGATCCCCAGAGAGCAGGAAGACAGTGACCAGGAGGCTGAGAAGCTATATGGGGTGGCAGGGGGGAGGCGCGGGTGGAGCAAGGGAGAGAGTTTTAAAGGCATGAGTGGCCCTCAAGCCCAGACCCCAGGAGTGGGGAGCTACGGAAGGAATGTGATGCTAAGAATGGACAGATGTCCCCCAGGAGCCAGGTTTCGGAGCTGTAAGGAGAGCAGCTGGGGGCTGCGGGGAGTAGTGTCAGATGGTGACATGCAATTCATCTCATGGTGTGGTTGATGACGAAGTAAAAGCTGTTGTATGTGCTCGAGCTCTGTGCTCAGCTCTGCACTGGGGATGTTGAGTGCGGGCGGGGCGAGGGGGTCATTGATCATCTTGCTTGGAACATCCCTTAATAGATTCTGGTCCCTTTTTCTTACCATAAACACTATAAGATTGCACAGTGATTCCAAACTGTTCTTCCTACCCAGACCCAGACCCAGACCCAGACCCAGGCAAATGAGCTGAAATTTTTTGCTCCCAGCTGACCTGTTCCTCAGATGAACTTTGAAGAGACTTGTGAAGGGGACCAGGAGGAGGGAACAGATGAGTCAAATCCCAGAGGAGCAGCCGGAATGCTCAGGACCCTCTGCAAGCCTGGGCTGTGAGTCCCCGGGGACTTGATTTGTGTTAGAAAGGCTACATTTATGCATTTGTTAATGACGCTGGTTATTTCAGGTTGGTGAGCTCTGTCTTGCATATGAAGACTTTGTATTTGAATCATCACTTCCACGCAATAAGACTGGAAAACCATTTACGTATATATCATACAAAAACTTTGCGCAAGCAGCCCCCATATCAGAATCTGTCCTGTGGAGGAATGTAGCCCTATCTCTCCTGGAATCCAGCCAGCATTGAGAAGTATAAAAACTCTCTGGCTTAAAAAGAATAAAAGAGAACCGTTGGGCATCACAGGAACTGAGGAAATTTCCAAGTAAACTAAATATTGTTTCTCATGTCCTAGAAAGGAAGACACCAGATCGATGCTTGGTTACATCTCTAAAAAGTTGAGCTTAAAATACAAATGCCTCCAAATGCTAGTACAAGTTTTTAGTTTTTCTAGATAATTATACTTGAGTTCTTAAATCTTAATTGTGGTTTTTTTAAGAGTATAAAACCAGCACTGTTATCAGCATATAGGAGCATGTATTTGAGTTTTGAGTGTGGGGTATTCCAAGTAATTTCCAGCCCAAGCCTTGTGCCCAAGGGGCTGAGAGGTAGCTGCTGGTGCTGGGAGCGTGCTGAAGGAGTGTTTCTAGAGCTAATTTTAAATAGGTAGATGTTGGCCGTTCCATTTTTTTAGATTGTTTCTTAATCTTTTTCTCTTACACGATGTATGAAGCAGATTTCTTTGGTGTCTGCCCACTCATTTCGATAGGCAGAAGATACTTCCGACACTGGGAGGGACAGGGCGATAAATACGGTAGAAGGGTCTTTTGGATTTGAGTTAGAAAACCTGGATCTTCCATCTCCTGGCTCCCCCAACTTTTTATTCCTATGAACTTGAGCAAAGTACTCAACTTTCGCAGACCTCAGTTCCTTCATTTGCAGTACAGAGCTGATAATGCCTCCCGGGCCCCGAGGAATGTCGTTACGTTCCGGTGAGGTCATGCATGTGGAAGCATGCTGCAGAGGCTCTACACGTCGACACGCTTCTTCCTAATGAGTGCTTCCCAATGGGCGATGGTGGGGAAGGTTCATAAAAGACTGCCTGTGGGTGGCATTTACATTTGTGCCAGAAGGAATTAGCTGAAAAGCTTTTGATTGGTATACTGCTTTTGTCTTATTATTAGGGTGATCTTATTAATAATGACTGAAAGAAGTTTTTGTGCTAATCTGTGGAATCTGATTATCTCTCTCCCCTGCACTATTACATAGAAGCTCTTCTGCTCTTTCTGTTTCATTTCTGTTTGCCCAGTCCATGGCTCCCAAAGAAACGGTCTTGTGTCACTGTAAAAATATCAGAGAATCTGTAGTAAAATAATTCAGTCTGGAAAAGACTGAAGCTTATTGTTTATATCAGCCATCTCCGAGGAGGAAAATATTGACCAAACAAATTAAAGCTCTAGATAGTGTTCAGCCATTTGCAGTGCTATTCTGTGCAATAAAGAAAATGCTTTTCTTAAATGCCTCCTGCACCCAGAACTCTTGAGGTTGCAAGTAGAAAGAAACGCAACTCAAGGCGGGGTGTTTCATGAAGTTTGGTTTATGAACCTAAAAAAGCCAAAAAGCACAATGCTGGGGCAGACAAATACTGATCTGGCATAGCAGCGCCACTAAATGTCCTCATTTCTTTTCTCCATCTGCTTTGCTTTCCATGGTGTCAGCCTTATTCTAAGGGTCTCCCCTTATGATCCTAAAAATGGCTTCTGGTGGGTCATAGTACAGTATGTACCACTGTTCCCAGCATCTCCAGAAGAAGCTGTGCCGTGCATTCTTACTGGATCTGCTCAGGTCATGTGCCCAGGACAGAAATCATGGGGGTCCAGGGGAATGGGCTGTGCCAGTCACCGTAATCCAGATCATGGATATCACTGCTGGAGCCAGATGGAATCTCCACAGGATAATGAGGACTCGCAGTCAAAAGAGGTCTCCCTGCAGTCCTTTCCTGTTCATTATGGGTGGTTGGTCAGGATTCCTGTTGATAAACTCTTAGATACTAGTTTGAGTTAGTATACATATTTTAAATTCAGAAATGGTTATCTGTTAAAAACAATACATGGCACTTGGTTTTTCATATTGCTCTGTACTCTGCATCCAGCTTCTCCGTCTTCTTCCCGCGTCGCCACGCTTAAGGGCTTCCTTTCTCCTGTAACCCTAGCAGAATCTCCCGGTCACGGGGACTCACTGCTGCAGTGGTTTGCCCAGTGCTCCTTGCTTATGTTATGACCAAGGGTGAATTACTGAAGCTCTGAGCCACAGGTTCTCTGTGAAATGTGCCCTCCTTACAGGGTTGTTTAGAAGATTTTCTGAGATGATGTGTCTGTCCCAAGGAGCAGCTCAGTGATGGACGTGTGGTTTCCGATCTCCGCCCTGATAGTTAGAAGCCAAGTCTGTCGGTGCCCTGGGGACACCTGCTTTGCTAGATGCTACAACCTGGGGTGGAGATGCTTGCCAGGGCCTGAGCTGTTTGAACCCCAGCTTGCCAAATCCCCAGGGCGAGGTAGGGCTTGGAGCAAAAATCAGTGAGGAAATCAAGGAAGCCGATGAAGGAGGGATATGACCTCACCCAAGCGGAGGCAGACAGGCTCCTATCCTGCTGCAGGACTAGAAGCCCCGAGCTTAGGCTAAGCCTGTTCCAGGAGAGGGGTGGGGTACGGAAAGAGAAGGTAGCTCCCGCAGTTCTTAGGGGTATCCTGTATTTAGATGGTTAAACTTCAGGGTACCTTGCCTACTCCTGTTCAGAAGAGCCCAGTTTCTGATGAAAACCAATAATTTAAAATTTATTTAAAAAAAAATTTTTTTTTCTTAAAGGATACCAAAGTACTGGTAGATTTAAGCAATGGATACATAGTTATATCCCTGTCAAGGCTGTTCTGAGGCTAGTTTCCTTACTGAGAGAGAATGGCTAATTAGGTAATCCTTGCTCTCCTCATCTAAATAAGAATAGGAGCTAAGAGCTTGTGAGCACTGAGCACCTGGCAGGCCCTGTTCTAAGCTGTGTGTGTGACCTGACTTGCTCTTCCCCTAACACCCTGTGACTCCAGGAAGGTCTTGCCCCCGGAACTCAGCTGGCAAGGGGCAGAGCTGGGATTTGAACCCAGGTATTCTGGTTCCAGAGTTTTGGGCCACCATACTACACCACTTCCTGAGTGATTTGATCTCAGTTAATTTTTTGTTTTGAGGGACTGCCTCATCTGAAATTTAGAGCTTATGTTGAGTTTTGATGGGTACTTGAGGGAAGAGAGAGGTGGTTAATCATTTCAGATACATTGTTGCCACATTTTAGTGGTGAAAAACCAGCGCGTGTGGCCGTGTCCTCCTGACCAAAAAAACCCAGAGTAGTAGGAAGCTGTCACTCCCACCAGAGGCAGCCATTTGAGACTTATTTTTAATTACTCACTGAGACTGCTTCAACAAATCCAACTGTGCATGAAATTAGTGGGTTATAGGAGAGGCAGGGAGAAGATGTGTTGAGTCCAGTTGACTTGTCCGAGTTATTAATAGAACATAAAATAGAAGAATCCAAACTTCCCCAACAGATAAAGTAGAGGATAACTAGCTAGAGTGGGAAATGATTCTTTTACTGAACAGTTCATTATACATTTCCTAATCCTGGGCGTCCTTAGAGTATTTACAAGTGGGATGTGATGTAGATACGCTTCATCTGCATGAGGTTGAAGACAGAAATGTCGTTTACGAGCAGGAGTCTGCAGTCATAATTGTTTAAAACTGAACATGAGAAGATAGAGGGATGGGGTTGTCAGAGCAATGTCTCTGCACTGTTTATGACTCATCTTCACCTGGGTCAGAGTAAAAACAGCATTTACCTACAGTGTTCACACTCTGCATCTGCCCCCAGCATTCCACCGGAGGTGGGAACCCAGCCCTGCCAGGAGGGAAGATGAGCATGTCATTTGGAGACGAGAAGAAATGGGATACGCATTCTGGGTAGTTACCCAGTCTTAAAGCTTAGTTCTGCTGCCACAGAACACAGCAAGCTTTTGGAAACCCTGAGTTCCAGCAGAACGTAAGCAGACTGGAGGAAAGTAACATGTCTGTCTAATGGTCCATGACTAACGGGAGTAAACTGGGTAGAACCCTGCCATAGATCAAAAGTGTCTGAGGTACATGGCGTCAGGTCTGGAAAGGGGGCAAAGAAGACAGAACTGGGCCAGGCCTGGACAGGTGGTGGGGTTTGGGTAGACAGAGCTGAGAAGAAAGGTCAGGAGGAGGGCTGGAGCGAAGGCACAGCCATACCATGGACAGTTAGGGGATCTGAAGAGGGAGGTGGAGGGACGGGGATGAGGCTGGCTGGGTCTGTGAGCCCAAGGAAGCCGTTTAGATGCACAAGACCAATTAACTGCTGTCCCTGCAGAAGAGTCGGGAGCAGCAAGGTGATCTGGTAAGATCTCTTGAAAGAAAGAGGCATTTTCTCTTAGGAATCAGGCCGTCGTCTGCTTACCTGGTGGTGGAGCGAGATGTCACGAGCAGCACAAGCTTACTGGTTCACCGGTGCCCACATACGGAATGTGGGGCCCGTGGCCATGGCTAGCTGGTGCGTGGCCCTGGGTGCCGAGGGCTTGTGTGGAGACTTCGTTCTCAAACTGGCATCGCTGGCTCTTGTTTGTTATACGCCGATCTGAATTCAATATTCCATAAACCCTAACAGTGCAGAGAAAAAGTCATCCTTTTGTGAGACTAAATTAAGGTTTTGGAAAGATTCAGTTAAGGCCATCTGCTGAAGAAAGGTCTGGATGTCATAACAACCCTAAGATTGGAAGGGGGCAGTCATTAGAAGCTGGAAGGATTCTGTGTCCAATTGCTTTTAAAGTTCTCTCTCCAGTTAAAATGAAACTGGAAGGGATGCCTGGGTGGCTCAGTCAGTTAAGAATCTGCCTTCAGCTCAGGTCATGATCCCAGGGTTCTAGGATCGAGTCCTGC